AGAATAAATCGTGAAAGTAATTTTTTTTTAAAAAAAAATACAAAATAAAATTAAGCGACATGAACATAAATGTTAATATATCTTTATATTGTATTCTAAATAAATACCCATATAACAAGCCAAAGAGGATTCACAATATTTGAAAGAATATAATAGTACTTTATTCCCTCAATGGTGGCATCGTTAGCTGGCTCAAACCATTGGTAAATAACGAATCCACCACGTAAAGCATAAATGAATATGTGTATATGGAGAAAAACCGTGAGTATTATTGCCTTTAAAATCACTATCGTTGTCGCCTGTTTCTTTGGTAAGTTCAAAGTAGGAATTAAAGACCAAGACCGAGATATAAGAAAGGAGGTTTAATGTCTTCAAAAAAATATCGTAGCGAAACATCATTAATTTTTCATAAACAAGTAAGAATATTTGCTAAATAAATTTTTGGGAGAAACCAAGTGTATTTATTATCGTTATATGGTGGGCGTTTCTCATGCATTCCATCTATTTTTGCTGTGTTACTATCTTTTGGTTATCAATCATTTAATCAAGATCATTCTCGCATAAACTGTAAAACTGTAAAATTGTACATTGAATAAATGCATTGTTGCACCGCATATTTATGCCTTATGACATAATCAACTATATTAAAAATATGTTATATAATCTATAATCACATGACATATTTCAAATTTCTTTTTCATTGAATTAATATAACGATAATGTCCAACTTTTTTCGTAAATATCAGTCCATTATAGTAGGATCAATATTTGGTGTAGGAATCGGCCTCTATGCATGGCTTCCGATGATGGAGCAATATAAACGGTAAAAGCAATGAATACAATATAATACAATAATCATAGTTTTTAGGTAATTAATATTGTTTAAATATACTAGTGAAGGAATTTTCGAACAACTTAGCCTGCAAAAATCATATGACAAAACCAACAATAATATAAAGAAAGATGTAGATGTCGCTAACCCCGCTAAGCAAGCGTCTGATATAACAAGCTCTTGATAAAAGGTAGATATAAATCACATAACTTCATAGTTTCAAAATTTTTTTTAATTTTGAAGTGAATCTCTCTAAATTTAATGAACATCAAAAAATTCAAATCTTGCTCATTCAATATTTGTATACTGAAAAAAAAAAAAATTAATTGTTCTTGTCAGTACAACATTAAATATACCAGAACTATTAAGGGAAATTGTACCTCAATATCGTCCATAAGATCCTCAGATTGCGATTTATATTGCTGCACTTTTCGTTCTATTCGTTTGTTTGGCTGCAGATTATGCTCCATGATATGCTTGTCACAACCTGAATAATAATTTCGATGAAAAATTATATATGGCTGGACTTTCAGTTCATGAAAATGTCAAGTATAATTACCGGTCATTGGACACGGGACTGTATTCATATTACGCCTTATTAACTGCATGATAGCATCTTTTGAAAATGTATGCTTGCACACATTACTATATAATAATTAAAAACGATTAAAGGTATGAAATATTTTTTATCGGAAAATGACGAAAACATATGGTTTAGAAAATACCTTGTAACTGGTTCCTCCAACAATAACGTTGTGATTGGACAATATAATGATTCTTTTTGTCTTCCCATTACAATTTCATCATCAGCTTCTTTATCTAATGGTGGCATGGTTTCATCAGGATGATTAACATCCTGTACAAAAATAAATTTAGTGAATTATCACTGATAGCAATTTGTATGTAAACGTTGAACTTTCATATATATTATTTAATACCCAAATTTTTTGTCGAAATTCGATGTAATTTTCATTTTGGAAATATTTTTCATTCTCTGACTTGGATTCGTACTTTCTTAAATCATCATCCAATTGAGCTTCATAATACTCTACAAGTTCCTATTGTAAGATATAATTTTTAACAAAAAATCAATATAAAAAATTTTAAACTAAAAGTAACACTTGCAAATTTATGTCCCGCATCAGATCGAATTTTAAGGTTGTTAAGCGCTGATCTTTGAAAATTGAGTTGATTTTCAAAATCAACATAATCTCTCGCAATAAGGTCTAATTGATTGAGCTAAATATATGTGATAAATGCGTTCAGATCGGAAAAAACAAATACTGTTACCCTGACAACGAATGAATTTACCTCTTCTTGTTCTTCAGCCTCTTCAAGGTCTGTTGCTGCTTCAGTTGCGAAAGTAAGTCCTCGTACAGCAAAGTGCATCATTTCGTTGAAATCTCTAAATAAACTATCAAACTCTCTTCGTTCATTATACTGAGATGTACCTCCCAAAGACGCTCGAGAACGACTAGATGACATGTTTAAAAATGTTGCAAAAATGCAAACGCGTTATTTCAAATACAATACGCGCAATATACAAAAATAGTTTCATTTTAAATGTGTAACATAACTGTAATTGTATACCTAATTAATTTTAATGACTTCTTACGAACCTAAAATCACATGATAACTGATAAGTTTTCTAGATAATTCAAAGAGAGCGAGCTATATAGCGAACTCACTAAACGTCAAAAAAAAAAAAACTCCCAGAACATGGAGTTCGGTATATCCGGAGTCGACTGTAATGCTTCTAGTTTGGAAGAAAAAACGCGGCGGTGGAGAAATGACGCTTACTTTAAGAACTTATACGAAACTGCTGTGTTTTGGGGAAATAAAGTTATGACCATGACAGGTATTGTATTTATTTAGGGTGATAAATTAGCATCGGAAAAATTCGTTGATATGAAATGCTTTTCTATATAGGCGACTCAAACGACGTGCTTTGGTTGGCGCAAGTGCATTATAACATGGGTCAATATGTCAGGGCACTAAATTTAATATGGAACCTTATAGATTCGAGCGTTGTATGCCGATTTCTAGCTGCAAAGTGTTGCGTGAGTATGAATTGATCACCCAATATTAGCCATCACAATGCGTTAGCAATGTATTATCAATTTCGTCTTAATTTTGATGCCCCTGTTATTAACATTAGCACCTGCTAAATGTTACTTACACTTACCTACACGATACCGAATTTAGATTAAAATGGAGAAGTATCAAGAAGCATTAGATATTCTTGGTGATGAAAATCCATTTCTTGATGGAGGTTTGTTGATATAACGGAAAAAATAAATCTGATTGCTTAAATGTAAATTGGGTTGATACACTTCGTTATGTGATTAAAACATTTATATAAAACGCGTAATTTGTTTGCAGATTATAGTTCGGTTGACAAAAATGTTGAAGGAGGGATTAGTGTGAGTCTTCATTGATTAGCTTTATGTGATTTATATGAATCTTATCTATTTTACTTAATGTAATTCTTGAAATTTTTTTTTATTGTTCTTGCTTGCATTAGCTTGAAGCATCTATTTGCTATCTGCGCGGGGTTGCGTATTCTCAACAGTCCGACCTAGATAATGCCAAAAAATGGTTTAAAAAAGCGTTGGAAATAGATGTTAAATGTTTTGAAGTATGTCGATATATTTTTGATATTTATTTAAATCAACCAATTTTTATTTTTAACTTCAAAATGATGATTTTATAGGCATTTAATGAACTAGTTATAAATCATATGATGACAAGTAAGGAAGGTAAACTTAGCGTGTGTAAACATTTGTTTTCAAGCTATATCTAAGCATCTATTACTTGACTAAGCTCTTATTAAAATATATAGAATGGGACTTTATTCATTCATTAAGGTTCGATGAACAATTAGAAAATGAAGAAGCCTATTTTATTAAAATGAACTATGTGTCAATGTTAAAAAAGGTTTGTTACTAATCCAAATGCTGTTGTAACTTTGACATGTAGACTCAACTGTTAATGCTTCACTTATAATAAATAGTTTGAACACGTAGCCGAAATTCAAGAAGCACGATCAGAACTGGAAAATAAATATCATCTTTCAAACAATGCAGACGTCTTATTGAGTCGTGCAGATGAATTATATACACAATGTCGATTCAAAGAATGCCTTGAAGTCACAACTAAGTATGTAATGAAAATTTTTATTGTGAAAAATTTATTTCTTAATATTTTAATTAATTAAAAAAAAGATTGCTTGAACTTGATATGTACAACCAAGCGTGTCTTCCTATCCATATTGTATGTCTCCACGAGTTACGTGAGAAAAATAGATTATTCTTGTTTGCTCATGAACTTGTTGAACATTCTCCGGATAAAGCAGTCACATGGTTTAGTGTTGGTTGTTATAACTTTCTGATTGGTCAAAATGACGAAGCGAGGAGATACTTTACGTATGTAGTGTCATTTATTCTTTTTTAGAATAGCAAAATACAACTAAAAGATACGTTCTAAACAATACAATTGTTATTAGCAAGGCATCTACTATGGATTCTCATTATGGGCCAGCGTGGGTAGGATTTGGGCATACTTTCTCTATAGAATCAGAGCATGATCAAGCAATAACAGCGTATTCTACAGCCGCAAAACTATATCCAGGGTATTGTTTTTTATCAAAATTCTTCTTTTTATTATAAATTTAATTAACTTCTATATAATTATGCAATCAGTTCACATCTCCCAACTCTTTTCATTGGAATGCAACATCTTCAAGCCAAAAACCTTTTATCAGCAGAAGAATATTTATTAACAAGCTCCCAAATCTGTGAGAGTGATCCATTGGTATTAAACGAGTTGGGTGCGCTATATTTTCAAAAACTTCAGTAAGTAGCATAATATATTAAAATTATTTAAATTATTTGACCCTTAAAATAATACATCATTCTCAGGTACGATCAATCAGTCGATTACTTTAAAAAAGCACTTGCGATCGCAGAGGAAACAAAGTGTCGGCCACAAGTATGGGAAACAATCTGGGTTAATCTTGGCCATGCTTTTAGACAGTTGGGGTATTTATTTGTATTTTATTATAATTTAAAATGACTTGCACGCTTTATTCTTTTAATAAAGAGGTGCATTAATCTTCCTCTTAGTGAATTGGATATTGCTGAATCGTATTTCCAAAAAGTAGTGTCTATGTCACCACCAAATTCGGATGCATTAACTGCACTAGGATACATTTATCATGTAAAGGAAGAATTTGAAGAGGCGGTTATGTATTATCATGAGGTTTTATATCCCATTTATTTTTATTGTTCCAGTTTTTATCTTGTGTCATTATTCGAATTAGTTTTAAAACATCAAATCTATTATTGTTAGGCATTGGGTATATGTCCTTATGATCCTATAACACATGATCTTTTGGGAGCATGTCTTGAAGAAATGGCACGTCTGAAACCTGTGACAAGTTACCCGGAATATATTGTTTAAAGCATTTGGTGCAGTCAATTTGGAGTGCCATTTAATAAAATGAACGTTAATGATTAAATTTTGTCTTTTCTTTTTCATTATAAATTCTTTATAATTAAGCCATGATATATGAATTTAGAATGATTGCTAATTCGACTTTTGATTTCATCAAATTTAAAATTTTCATTAATTTGTAATACCTAATTAGATTTACTGAGGTAAAATGTAATAATAGACGTAAGTATTTCATTCTTTTAAGGATTTGATTTGGATTAGTGATAAGCCAGTTTTCTGCTTTACATATTATCGGTACCGTACCGTAGTAATTTAAATTTTTTCAATTGCATATCATGGGAAATGTCTATGACTTTATGAAACTTATGGATAATTATTACAAGTGTTCTAATCCAAATTCGAAATCGCCTCATGACATACAGTATTACCGGTTCATTTTCTTTGTGAGACACATGCAGGGATACTAATGACTTGACTCGACTGACTCAACTTGACTTGGATATAAAATCAGTTCAATTCTTGTCATTTTTATTTTATGGACTACGTACAAATATATAAAATTCGAACAATTAAAGTAATCGAAATATTGATCGACTCGAGCCAATCAACTTTAATGGTTAAATGATTTTCAAATTTAATGATCCAAGTCATCGACTTAAATTTATTTATCTTATTATTTATCTTATTAAACTTAAAAAAAAAAAAAAAAGGCAAAATACTAATTGTATACTATTATAGTGTATACACATGTGTAATTTATATTTCAAAATTTTAATATAAAACCTCTTTCGGGCTTTAACAAAAAAAACTTGCTAAATTTTGGTATATAAAAATTGTTAATCTACATAAATTAATATTTGTAAATATATATATAATGCATATTGCTTTTTTCTAAATTTTATTATTATTCGTTTTTTTTTTTTTTTTTTTTTTTTAAGCAAAGCCAAGGTGAGGCCATGTTTCTATCTTTATTAATAGTTTAATTAAAAAAATTTACAATAGAAATTTTTGTATACTATGCTATTACAAGATATAGTTTTAAACTATATGATAAGATTTGAAATTTAGATTAATTTATCTGTGATCTAAACCTACTAGAGTAATTATAACTCATCTAGATTTGAATGTTAATTATATTATTAGTTGAAATACTATATTTAATCTATTTGATAGACCAAATATATAGTTTATAATATGTTAATTTTTTTAAAAAACTAAGAGAATTTTTATGTTGTTTTTCAAGATATCTATATATATAGCTAATTTTATTTGAGCTAGAATTATAATATATTAAAGGTAGACTTGATTGTATAGTATTAGCTTGAGAATATTGTTTATAAAGCTTAATATTATTTGTTTGTTTTTATTTAGAGAGTTTAGTATATTAGGGTTTCTATAATTGTTTATATATTAATTTAGATATTTTATAAATAGTGTAGTTATAAGTTGTTGAGCTAATTTGTAAGAGTCTGTATATAGATATAGTAGTTGTACAAGATCATTTGGTACAAGGCTTATAATAGATTAATGGAATAAGATATTGTTAGAAAAAGGTTATAATAATTACAAGAAATAATAATTAATAAAAAAGTTTTGAAAATATAAAAGTTGTGATAATGAAATATTAAGATTGTTTAATTGTTTAATATAAAAATAGATTGTATATTTAATTTAATTATATTGAAAATTAGTTATAAATTTAAACAAAATAACCAATATATATTGTTATCAATTTGATTACAAGAAATATATTATTTTGTTTTAATAATATTTAGATAGTATATATATAATTAGAATATAGTAAGAAGGTTGTTTAAAAGGTTTTTAACTTAGAAAGCTTTAATTTTACTTAATTTGTAATTAGTATAATTAGATAAGTATAAAAAATTATTATTAATTATAATCTAAATTATATTTTAGTTAACTTGTTTTGAGAATTCTTTTCATAGTTATATTCTAAATTATAATGACTATATAGCTATTATAAAGGTATTGCAAATATTTTTACTAAATTTATATATTGGTTATTCAATAAAGAAGTTTTTCTATTGAAGTATATAGAAATTGTTGAAGTAATTTGTGTAATTAAATTCAAGAAATTTTAGAAATAAGTAGTATAAAGCTAGATAATCTGCTGTATTATTAAATTTATTATTACTATAAGCTTAAACTTTATGAAAAGTAATATTAATATTTTGTAATTTAATAAAATTAAACAAAATTACTAAATTTGCTAGTAATTATATTTTGTTTTGAACTATTTAGTTGTTATTAATTTGAACTTAGCTAATTTTTATAGAATATTAGTTTGTATATATATTTTGTACTAAGCTATCAGTATAGAATATGAACTCTTATTGATTAGAGTTTTGTAAAACTATACTGTATAGAGATTTGAAAATTTTATTAAATTTAAATTTTTCAATTATATAGTTATTTTTTAAAATAATACTTGAAAAAAGTGAAATAGTTAATAGATATCTAATTCTTAAATTATAAATTAAGTCAGTTATATTAGTATTAAACTTTAGTTTGTTAAAAGAATTATTTGTAAGAAGCTTAGCTTAAACTTTAGTATTATATATAGCTGATATTTTGATAGTATATAAATTTGTAATATATTTAAAATTTAGATTACAATTTAAGCAGAAAGTATAGTTAATTTGTGAGTTAGAATAGTAAGCTATATAGCTTAAATTATAGTCAATAGTCTAGTAAGTTATTAATATAGAGTTATTATTAGAAAAAATTTTTAAGCTTTTTTGAGAATAATTTAATTGCTTGTAATTAATAAGATCTATAGTTTTCTAATTTTAAAATAATCTGTACTTAGTAGAAAAAGATTAGAAGAATTTAAAGCTATTAATTCTATGATTTTTTTAGTATATAAATTTGTTATTATTGTTTTTTTTAGAAAAAAAAAACTATAAAAACTGTTTTCCTTTAAACAAATAAAAAACTCAAAAAGAAATATATTGCTAATATTATTTTTAGAAATTATAAGTTGATCTAAATAGATAATATTCTTCTTGTAAAGTTATTATTTAAATATTAAATAAAGTAGATATTTGTTAAGTATTTGTTCTAGTAAATATGCCTTATATTAATAAATTTTTAGCTACTGATAGTTAATATTTGCAGTAATAATTATGTTCAATAGATTAAGAAATTTAATAATTTTACAGATAATTGTATATTTGTTAGATCTTTTAATTAATAATTTAAATATTAAAAAAGATTTATAATAGATTATAAATTGTTTTAAAGTTGTTAGACTAAGGTTCAGTAATCTTAGTGTAGTAGTTAGGTTGTCAGACTATCATATAAGAGGTCTGGAGTTCAAATCCTACTGTCGACGAATTTGAATAATTACTCAGACCTTTATATCCAACTTACGGTAAACTCTGTCTGTTTCTGAGGTTGTAACCCTATAAATCGTGTTATACTAATATCAATCGGGTATTGGAAGTATAACAGAAAAGTCAGGTCTGATGTAATATTACACAAATAAATCTTAATAGGATCTATGAGCAGGAAACCTGTATGGTAGAAATCCTGAGTTAGGTAATGTAGTACAGATTTCGATAGTTACACCGGCTTAACACTTGATCTAGAGGAAGTCTAGGAATGAAGAATGCAGACCGAGTAGGTGCGAGTAAGTCAATAATATAATGGAAAAGTTAAATGTGATGTAACATTATACGAATAGCAACACCAATCTAGCTTGGCAGCTAACTGGATTTGGGAGAATCTATTTCATAAAACATTCAGAAGAACTAGACCAATTTGGTGAAGAGTTACGGAAGGAACTGAGTTTGTACGAACACCAATAAGGGTATATGCTAGCTTAATTGGGATATAGTATAGCATAGTTGGGGTCATCCGCAAGCCTTTACTAGAATAGGACGCAAGTAGGTACCTTGTAATAGAGCCCAGTCCTATGAAGTCAATTTGAGGCGCAAGTTGGTCTAGATGGTCCTCAGATGAGGCAGCACAAGATTAGCGTAGATAAATAAACATTAGGTTAAAAATAGAGTTTCACTGTGATACCAGAGGGTTTAAATAGAGTATCTACAGGCAGATACTAGATATAACAATTGGTAGGTAACCTATATGGCGGAACCTGTAAATAGACAACGACTAAAGTTGTATGTGTAGCTAATTGTATCCTTACTAACAAATATAACTTAAAAATAATACTTAATAAAAATCTGCGGACAGCTTGTTGAAAAATAAAAATAAAAAAAAAAAAAAAAAATTTGTTAGACTTGTATTTGAGTAGATAATTCTTTTTTTTTTTTTGTTGTTAAGGTAGCTTATATTGCTGAAGAAATTTTATTAGAATTGTCAACAGGATTATATATTGATAATCACTACTATTCGTAATTACATGAAAAGTGTATAACAAGCCACATATACAACTTTAGTCATTATCTATTTTAAGTAGTCTACTACATAGGCGTTAGGCTACCTAATTAGTTCTACACTATGCTGCTATACCTATAACCTACCTGTGGATTACCTATTTAAACACTCTGTTCATTAACTCATACAGATCCAACCTAATGTCACTGCAACATCTAACCGCTTAAACCAGCTAGCTTGTTACAGATCTATTTATTCAGAATAGCTCAGATCCTCTTAGAATACTTTATATTAGATGTATTGCTAGTATTACAGAACTAGTTAACCTCAAAGCAAACCTACTAGAGCAGTCCATACTTATTTTATGAATTCATCTAGCTTAGACCCTTGTAGATGTTAATACAACCCTAGGTTCTATTATGGTCTTCTACTAGTTAGTTGATTTAGTCTTTTTCTAGTATCTAGCTAGTCCTAATTACCCTTCACCCAGAGACCTCAAAACTTTCTACTTTTATTAGACTGAGTTTTCTTCTTAGATCAGACTTTAGCTAATGTAGTCCTGTCAGAAGGCCATATTACTTT